TGGAGACCCTGTGGGCAGTTCCACTCTGTCCTCTAGGGGCGCTGTGGGTCAGAATGGACTCCACGGCAGTGGGTGTGGTTTGGGCTTTGCTCCCATAAAGACTGACAGCCTTGGAGACACTCTGGTGCGGTTCCACTCTGTCCTCTAGGGGCGCTGTGGGTCAGCATGGACAGAATGGAGCTGCCTCACAGGGTTTCCTAGGCTGTCATCTTTATGGGAGCACATTACCAGGTCTTTCCCCCGCAGTCCCGCTGGGTGGACTGTGGGTCCCTAAAACCAGTAATGGCATTCCACCTTTTACATTTGTACAAGCTCCTCCGAAATCCTGCCTCAGTGAGAGGCGCGGTGCAGAGGCCCACGCATGCGCACGTGCGTGCCGTTCTGAAGCCCAGGTCACTGGTCGCCGGCTTCCATCCACGGTGCCCACGATCTGTATGAATGAGCCTTGCACAGTTTGCCCCTCCGTGTCCAGTTCCAAAGGCCATTTTTCCTCTCGGGATGGATCAGGGTCAGGCAGCCCCCATTTGCAGAGCGAGCCCAGGCCATTTGGTATTCAGCTTCCCTGGGGGCAGATTAGACCAGGATTTACAGCTTTCAAGGATGTAAATGTGAGAACCCAGCTATAAAAGGCTTTTTACACTCCAGGATGTGAAAGGTTATCCGACATATTTATGTGGCCCATTGAGTTTTACGGCCTTGGGTATTTAAAGCATGATCAGGCATTTGTAAAATGTTTCAAATGCATTTGAGGTTTGGGGGCCGAGCCTGAGGAAATGCACCATTAGTGGCACCTTCCTAATTGCGACTGTCACAGGCTCCCACAGACCTTGCAGTGTTAACTGCCCATCCGCTCCCAGGTTGCTGGAATGAACACTTGCTCAAACTCGGCTGTTGGTTCTAGGGAGGGGCGGGGCGCCATGCTAAAATCCTAAAGAGTTTTAGGGAGACATCCATTTGGGGGTGTCGTAGTGCAGCTACGTGTACAGGCAGCAGGGGTGTCCCCGAGGCTCTTGGGACCGCTTTGGCCGCCGGCCCTACAGGGGGCGCTCCCAGATGCTGAATTGGTGGACTGGTGGGGAACCAGGAGCGACCTTCCGCTCCACGCGCTGCTGCAGGGGAAGCGTGTATTGCTCTCCGGGGTGGGGGGGACCCCATGCGATTCCTTTTAGTGCATCATTCGTCTTCCTAGCAACTGCTGAGTTGATGCATGTCAGCAGAGGGCCGGGGGCTTGCCTCCCCGCACGGAAATTGACATGGCCGTTCAGAATCCGTTGGTCTGTTCCCTGACGCTACCCGGTCTCCTTTGCAACATGCCTCTCTCCTTCTCCTCCAATAAAATCTTACGGTGACTCTTCCAGAAGCGGTGGAGGAAGGCCTACAGATCCCCGCCACCATCACAGAGCGATACAAGGTTGGGAGGACGATAGGAGACGGGAATTTCGCTGTTGTCAAAGAGTGTGTGGAAAGGTGAGAAGCACGACCTTCGGAGGGAACTCGTGGCGTTGCTGTGTCGAATTGCAGCCCGTGGTACATGTGGAACGAATTAATGTTTCAACCAGAGATGTAAGAAGACGTTTTATGAAAAATAAAGGGAAAACCCATCTGGCAATAGATTTGAAAAATGGAGTGATTCCCGGGGACAGTCTGTACGTTAAGGGCTTTGACTTTTAAAAAAATAATAATAGTGTTTAATGTACTCAGCAAACTGCCAGGTCTGTCAGGTGAGTGTCTTTATTTTGTTAAAGAAGACATATTGAGCGTTTTCCCTACACTTTTTTTGAGGTAACTCTGTAGAGGTCAGAAGGGTCTTCCCTAGAGTTAATATCTACAATATGTACGATCATGAAATTAAATACTGGTGGTTCTCGACTTATGGGGGCTCCCTTCGGCGATGACTGTGCCCTAAGTCGGTTCTGAAATAAATTGAAAATCTCTGGGTGTTTTTTTTTTTTTTTTTACTTTTCATTATTCTTGCCTTTTGTTTTTTTACTAAACTCACTCACTGTGAGTTGTATTTCATACTAAATTCACTCTGACTCCACTCACTGCTGTGGAGTCAGATCCGACTCATAGTGACGCCTCCTTGGGTTTCCGAGGCAGTATCACTACAGAAACAGATTGCCCAACCTTCCTTCTCAGTGGTGGCTGGTGGGTTTGAACCGCCAGCCTTCTGGTTAGCAGTCAGATGCCTTAGGCATTACACCATTCTCATTGTTATAAATCTGATCTGTATTTGACATTGAGGAGTTCTGGTAGCATAGTGCCTAAGGCACTTGACTGCTAACCAGAAGGCTGGAGGTTCAAACCCACCAGCCACTCCTCAGAAGGAAGGTTGGGCAATCTACTTCCATAGAGATACTGCCTCGGAAACCCAAGGAGGGGTTGCTATAAGGAGGGGTCACTATGAGTGGGGGCGGACTAGAGGGCAAATAACAACAATAACAACATTTGTCATTGGGGTTGGAAGTATTGCATATAAAGTTACAAATATGATGACATGGGCAAGTTGCACACTGCTACACTGTATGTAGTGCAGATTACTAATGAGAAGATGTACAACCACAAGGAAAAAAATCTGCAGACAGTCTAAGTGTGGTTCTTTGTAACCCAAATACATCGTAAGTCCAGGACTGCCTGTATAACACTAACTGTGAAAGGTTTAAAACGCGTATGTAGTGATCCCAACAAAATAGTACTTAATTAATTCCTTGTCTTAGTTCTCTACTGTTGCCATAACAGAAATACCACACTCGGGGGCTTGAACTCAGGAAGTTATTCCTCAGAGTTGAGGCGGCTAGACGTCTGAGTTCAGGGCAGCAGCGCTAGGAAAGGAGCTCTCTCTCTCAGCTCTGAGGGAAGTCCTTGTCTCCTTTCAACACCTGTGGGCCCTGTGTCCCTAGAGCTGTCCATGTGACTTGGCATCAGTCTTGCTCTGGGTGTAAGAGGTTCTTGGCGCAGTGACCCTGGGTCTCATGGGCACACTTCACTCCTGGCTCTTCTTTCTTGGCGGTACCGAGTTCTCTTCTGTCTGATCACTTCTCTCTCCTTTTCTGCTTGTAAATAAGAAGGGATGCAGGCCACACCCCAGGAAAATGCCCTTTAGGCAGGGTCAGGGCAGTCACGGAGGAAGGGTGTTGCCTTGTACCCTAATCTCCTAGCAGCTGATTGGCTGATCACATCAGATCATGTCACGGGGGACGATTACATCATCACATAAGTGCCACATCCCTGAGCATCACAGCCCAGACAAGGTGACATAGATCTTGTGGGGACAAAATTCAACCCATGACATAGATGAATCCGTCCCGTTGCTGTCAAGTTGATTCTGTGACAGAATGTGACAGGGTAGACCTGCCCCATAAAGTTTCCTTCTGGGGCTGTAATCTTACAAAAGCAGGCTGCCTGGTCTTTCTTCTGCAGAGTGGCTGGTGACTGGGAACTGCTGACCTGTGGGTTAGCAGCCTGTGGTGCAGTTCCACTCTGTCCTCTAGGGGCGCTGTGGGTCAGAATCGAGTCCACAGCAGTGGGTGTGGTTTGGGCTTTGCTTTTGTGAAGATTGACAGCCTTGGAAGCCCTGTGGTGCAGTTCCACTCTGTCCTCTAGGGGCGCTGTGGGTCAGAATGGACTCCAGGGCAGTGGGTGTGGTTTGGGCTTTGCTTTTGTGAAGATTGACAGCCTTGGAAGCCCTGTGGGCAGTTCCACTCTGTCCTCTAGGGGCGCTGTGGGTCAGAATGGACTCCATGGCAGTGGGTGGTCAGTTTGCACTCCGACAACTAATTCCTTACAAGAACATTCAGGCTTTCTAATTGGGTCAGTCTGTGCTTTACTTGATGATGGTGTCATAAGATAGTCTTGGTTCAAGGTTTCAATATTATTTCTGTTTATTAATAGTTTCAAGGTTTTCCCCCAATCTCAATGGATCCAGAAAGTCTGGTTTCCATATGAACTCAAAGTTCTGTTCCACACCTTGCCCCCTTTTGATCAGGATCCCTCTGTTGGGTCCTTGATCAACACATTCAGCAATGGTAGCTGAGCACCATGCACTCCTTTTGGTCTCATGGTTCCTGGAGGAAGTTAGCCCCGCAGCCCGTTTCTTCTCCAGTTCCCGCATCTCTTTCTGCTGCCGCCGCTGCGGTCCCAGACAAATGCACACCAAACGGTGGTGTTTAGCTGTGAGTGTTTTATTACAAGTCAGTATCGACAGTTCACTCCTCTCCTATGCCAGCCTGTGTACAGGTGTCACATTTTGGTCAACTCACACGCTTTCACATATTTATTTTTTAAAAACACAGAGGAGGACAGAGTCTGTTACAAAGCATCCGCATCCTGGAACCAGACTCCTGGGTCAAGAAATGAACTCTGAGCCAGATGGCTCCGCAGACTTGAAATTAAGTTTGATTTTTATAAAACTAAAACCTTGCTCTTTGCAGGTCAACCGCTAGGGAATATGCTCTGAAAATTATCAAGAAAAGCAAATGTCGAGGCAAGGTAGGTCCAAGGTTCATGTTTTTAAAATGCACGGTGTGGGGTGTAGAGGCTGAAACGGTACCTCCCAGATCAACTCCAGGTGGACACGTGCTCCCCTTACCACGTGTTTGGGTGGACGGCCATGATACGTACCCAGGATGAGATTTCATAAACAGTCCTGCAACATTTAAGCGCTCTGTCCCAGAAGCTGGTTGCAGTGATTAGATGTTATTTCTGTCCATTTTCTTTGATGGCTTGTTTGTTTTCTTCCCCCTTTTTAAAAATTTATATTAAGTCCCCTCTTTCTGCATGCAATTAGAGTTCTCATGATAGGTCCTGAAGTTTGCAAACTTCACCTAAGGACCTTCAAGATCTTTGGGAAGTTCTAGGAGCTCTGGTAGCATAGTGGCTAAGACACTTTGCCTGCTAACCAGACGGCTGGCGGTTCAAACCCACCAGCCACTCCTCGGAAGGAAGGTTGGGCAATCCTACTTCCGTAGTGATACTGCCTCGGAAACCCAAGGAGGGGTCGCTATGAGTCGGGGCCGACTCGACGGCACATAACAACAACAACAACAGGCTCTTTGATTATTAGAAGCTACGGTGCAGTCATTGCATTTCGCTGACTCCATCCCTTGGTTCTCACGTGGGTCAGTTTTTCTCCGTGAGTCGGCCGCTCGTGGGTGCTTCTGTGTGCAGATGAAGCTGGTGTTTTCCCTTTGGCAGGAGCACATGATACAGAACGAGGTGTCTATCCTAAGAAGAGTGAAGCACCCCAACATTGTGCTTCTGATCGAGGAGATGGATGTGCCAACGGAACTGTACCTCGTCATGGAATTAGTGAAGGTGTGTATTTCCCAAAAGAGAACAAAGCGACTAGTTTTACTCAGTTGCCCATGAGGTTTCCACGAATCAGAATCAACTCAGTGGCAGCAGGTTTGGTTTGGTTTAAAGGCACCATACTCTCCTGTCTCAGTGCTGTGTGTGGCCCCAGGGTCCGGAGGACTCACACTGTTACGTAAGGCATCAGCTCCAAGGCTTGCTGTAATTGGCTCTGTGATCCTGGGAGGATGCAAGGGGAACTCGCACTGGGTGGGGTGGGTCCGGACCAGAAGGGTGGATATGAGAGACGGTGGCCTAGTGCCTAAGGCACTGACTGCTAACCAGAAGGCTGGTGGTTCAAACTCACCAGCCACCCCTTGGAAGGAAGATGGGGCAATCTACTTCCGTAGTGATACCGCCTTGGAAACCCAAGGAGGGGTTGCTATGAGTTGGATTCAACTCGACAGTAGTGAGGTGTTTTTTTTTTTTTTTGGTTTTGAAGAATGGACTTAAAGGATTTGCAGACTCTTGGAGGGTAAAGAAGAAAGGACATTATGGGATGTCTGGAGCCTAGATAACTAAGACTGTGGTCGAGTCTTCTTGTTGGGTTCCAATGAATTAATTCTGAAGACCTGCCCCATGGGGTTTCCAAGGCTTTGATCTTTACAGAGGCAAAGCCCAACCACAAGAACTGCTGTGGAGTCAGCTGTGACCCACAGTGCCCTTAAAAGACAGAGTGGAACTGCCCCACAGGGTTTCCCAGGCTGTCAGTCTTCACAGAAGCAAAACCCAAACCACACCCACTGCCGTGGAGTCCATCCTGACCCACAGCGCCCCTAGAGGACAGAGTGGAACTGCCCACAGGGTCTCCAAGGCTGTGAGTCTTCACAGAAGCAAAGCCCAAACCACACCCACTGCCGTGGAGTCCATTCTGACCCACAGCGCCCCTAGAGGACAGAGTGGAACTGCCCCAGAGGGGTTAAGGCTTTAATATTTATGGAAGCCAACCACCAGGTGTTTCTCCCAAGGAGCCACTGATGAGTTAGATTAGCAGCCGAGCCCAGAACCGTGGTGTCACCAGGGCTCCTGGGCGTTTTTGCAGAGGCCCACATACGGCTGTGTGTGTGTCCCACTGTATCAGTCCCACAGTGCTAGTCGCTTAGACCACAGTGGAGTCCAGCCTCCCAGACACGAGAAAACAACTCACAAAGCTGGACCCGGCAGCCTCGTGATAAGTGCGAGTTGGGGGAGAGAGTCCCCTGTGAAGAAAGAGAATGTGGGCGTGATTGGGAGCTGCTGAGCATGAGCGGACGCTGGAGTTACCCAGGGTGAAGGTCACACAGGGAACGGGGGTTTCGAGGGGCAGCAGTGGTGCAGGGGTAGAGTGGCCACCTTCCGTGTGGGAGCCCCGGGTTCGAGTCTTGGCCAGTGCACGGCACCGCGGCCACCACCCGTCTGTCCGTGGAGCTCGTGTGTCGCTGGGACGCTGAACAGGAGGATTCAGCGGCGCTTCCAGACTGAGATGGATGAGGAAGGAAGGCCTGGAGGCCTATTCTGAAAACCAGCCGGTGAGGACGCTCAGATCCCAGGGGTCCAGTCTGCCGCTGCCTCGGGGACTGGCGCCCGACTGGGCAGGGTGTCCTCCTGCTGGGCATCGGTTACTGGGAGGCAGGGGCCAGTTTGACGGGCAGCTCACAGGTGTGGGCCAGACAGGGCGTCCGAGAACAGCAGTGAGCACAGGCTGTATTTTACTGTTGCTATTTATGAAGAAAACTAAGTCCCTCACAGCCTGAGCGCCTTGGCCGACAGAGGGACCAATGACCACTGTGCTCAGCGGTCGGCTTAGCTGACAGGGGGGCCTGGTTACCACTGGACTCAGCTGGGGGTGTTGTCTGCGGAATCGTTGAAACACTGCCAGTAAGTTAGACCCAAGTTCTCTGAAAGGGCTTCCGATAAATGAGACTGAAACGGGGCATGAAAGTGGTGTTTCACCAAGTAACAGGAAAGCAGCGAGGCCCAGGGCACAGAAGAGTTCAGCCGCCCGATGATCGTGGAAACTTGTCTTGGAAATTCCCCACCTGCGCGCCCTCCCCGGCTCCCCCGCCCCCTTACCTCTGGGACGGAGGTGCCGGGTGTCCTGCTCTCTGCGCTCCTTACAAAGAGCCGCGGTTCCCTGAACACAACGCTACGCCCACTCCCAGCGAGCTAAAGCAGCAGAATGCAGGGCTCTCTGTGTGAGTGCATGCATGCATGTGTTCGAATGTATGTGTGCATGCACGTACGCATGTGTGCACGTACACATGTATGTGTGCATGCATGCATGTACGCATGTGTGTGCATGTGTGTATGTGTGAGTATAAATGTGCATGCATGTAGTCATGTGTATGCATATGTGTGTATGCGTGGAAATATATGTATGCAAGCATGTGCACGTGTGCATGCACTGTACCCATGCATGTGTGCAAGTATATGTGCGTACATGCATGTGTGTGCATGCACATGTAGGTGCATGTGTGCATGTATGCACACATGTGTATCTGTGTGCATGCAACTGTGTATGCATGGTGCGCATGTGTGTGTGAGTGCATGTGTGTGCACATGTACATGTGTGTGCGCTTGTATATGCATAGTGCCTGTATGTGTGTGTATGTATGTGTGCATGTGCACACATATTCTCGCGCATGTGCATGCATGTGTGGATGCGCACATGTACCTGTGTGTGCATGTATGTGCATGCACGTGCATATGCATGTGTGTGTGCACATGTGTATATGTGTGTTGATCATTTCACAAGGCAGCAGAACACTTTGTGATGTATCAGTAGCAGGGTTACCAGGTCCTCACTAGGGGAGGTGCAGGTTATGAACTTGAACTTGGCTGGTCTGATGCACATAACACAAGGGTGCCACCACAGGCCTCTGCTCTGGGGACCAGCCCGGCCTTCTCCTCTCTGCACAGAGTGTCTCAGGCTGTTAGAGACACACTAATAGGTGACAGCTTACTTTGATTTTAAGGTGTTTTTCTTTCTTTGTTTGTTTTTTAATACATGAAACCAGATATTCACTGGGGGGAAAAATGTCTGACCCCAACTGCAAAATCATGGTTTTTATGGTTTTTCCTACTGGAAGCTACTCTTCAGTAGAGTGTGAACTGCTGTTTCCTGCTAGAGAAGACAGTCGCCAACAAAACTGTTACCTGGGACTTAAAGAAAAAGACTGAAAAGCTCCTTGCCAGCAAGTCAGTTCTGGCTCACAGCACCCCTAGAGGACAGAGTGGAACTATCCCCAGAGGGTTTCTAAGGCTGTCATCTTTACAGAAAGAGCTCTGGTGGTGCAGTGGTCAGGCACTCGGCTGGTAACCAAAAGATCAGCAGTTCAAACCCACCAGCCACTCTGAGGGAGAAAGATGAGACAGTCTGCTTCTGTAAAAATTGACAGCTTTGCAAACCCTCTGGGGCAGTTCCACTCTGTCCTCTAGGGGCGCTGTGGGTCAGAATGGACTCCACAGCAGTGGGTGTGGTTTGGGCTTTGCTTCTGTGAAGACTGACAGCCTTGGAGACCCTGTGGGGCAGTTCCACTCTGTCCTCTAGGGGCGCTGTGGGTCAGAACGGACTCCATGTAGCCAGACCACTTTGAGACCTGCTACCAGTTGGAGCTCTGTTAGCATAGTGCCTAAGGCATTTGCATGCTAACCAGAAGGCTGGTAGTTCAAACCCACCAGCCACTCCTCAGAAGGAAGGTTGGGGAATCTACTTCCATAGTCACGCCCCCTCAGAAACCCAAGGAGGGGTGGCTATGAGTCGTAACTGAGTCCAGGGCAAGGAGTTTGGTTTGCTTTGGTTTTCTCAGTTATCAGCAAAGGGGGTGGGCAGGATTTGGTCAGTCACATTCAGATTAGCCAATGGTTGATCTCAGTAAAGGAAGTGGGTAGGGTTTGATCAATGACGTTCAGATTAGCCAATCTCAGTAAAGGAGGTGGGTGGGGTTTGAGCAATGATGTTCAGATTAGCCAATCGCAGTAAAGGGGTGGGTGGGGTTCGATGGATGATGTTCAGATTAGCCAGTGGCTGCTCTCTTTTTCCTTCCTTGTCTCCACGAGCCTTGTAAACAGTCTAGTTGGAGCCGTTTGCTTTCTTTGAGGGTCACAGTGTCCATATATGCGCACAGAACAAACTGTGTGTCTCCATTTCTCTGAGTTTCGGTTCTTTGGAGGGAGGAGTCCCCACCTTGACATTTCTTTGTGCTCAGGAGGACATGTCGCTGGCTTTCCTCAGTGGGAGGCTGAGTCACCGTAATGTCGTCCACCGGCCTTTCACAGCAGGTGGCAGGGAGGTGCCCCTTCCTCCTCCCCTTAGGTTTGCCGGGCCCCTGCGCACGGCCCTGGGGGACCCCCTGCTGAAGTGCTCTTTGCTTTCCTTAGGGAGGGGACCTTTTTGATGCCATCACGTCCACCAACAAATACACGGAGCGAGACGCCAGCGGGATGCTGTACAACCTGGCCAGCGCCATCAAGTACCTGCACAGTCTGAACATCGTTCACCGCGACATCAAGCCCGAGAACCTGCTGGTAAGAGCCGCTGTGCGTGCGGCGCGGGGGTTCCAGCCGCTAGCGAATGGCCGCATGTTCCTTCTTCCCTGTCTTTTTAATGCCCTGCCTTTCACTGTTGTTGTGAGTGTGCACGGCAGGGCGGACACCCAGTCCGCGGTTTCCACGTGTCCAGCCCCGTGACATGGTCGTCATTCTTCAGGTTGTGCGGTCCTTCTCACCCTGCTCCTCCGTGAACATGAACTCACTGCCACCTCAGTCCTGACCGACCTTTCGCGTTGCTGTTGTCAGTCTGATCGCGAGACACACGCTCTTTTACTAAAGGAGCTCGTGTTTGGTTTAAGGAAGACTGTAGTTGATGTAAGGAGCTCTGGTGGCATAGTGGGTAAGGCATCTGGCCATCAGCCAGATCAGCAGTTCAAACCCACCAGCCGCTCCATGCAAGAAAGATGGGGCAAATTACTTCTGTAAAGATTTACAGCCTCGTAAACCCATTGGGGGTCGGAATTGAGTTGCAGGCTATGAGTTTAAGTGTGAGTTTTGCGTTGAGATTCGTGGTTTAAGGTTGAAGGTTTAAAAATTATCTCAGGGAAATGGTTTCAGGGCTCATCCAGCCTCCATGGCTCCAGAAAGTCTGCATACTATAAGAATGTAAAATTCTGTTCTGCATTTTACCCCCTTTTGATCAACATTCTTCTACAGAATTTTTCTTTTTAAAAGTACTCTATCTTCATTGCAAGTTTCCATCTGGCCTTCAGTATCTGGCTGGAAATTAGCCTCTTAAGTTGATATGTAAGAGTTAATGTGCCATTAAGACCATGTGACTTAGAAACCAGGCATTGGGGCAGATAAGGAGTTCAGGGCTGCGGTTCACTCCTCAGGCCAGGACAAGACAGTGGCCAGGAACGTTTGCATATGTGTTGTTTCCATACAGCATTTTTATCCTACAAAGTTTTTACTTGGAAGCAAAGAAAACGCTTTTAGAATTTCTTACTCTTCCAACTTTACATCTCAGTAGCATGACACGGCAGCTGCAACAGTGGGCTCAAATGCAGCAGCAACTGGGACTGTGACCTGGGACGGTGACCCATGATGGGGCACCGTTTAGTTCCGTTGTATGTGGGGTCGCTATGGGTCAGAACCGCCTCAGGAGCACCTGTCGTAAACCACCACAACAGGGTGGTCTAAGGTGTCTCCACGTGGCAGACAGTGAACACACTGCTGCTGCCTAAGAGGTTGGACGTTCAAATCCACTCAGAGGTGGTACGGGAGGCCAGCCTGCCAATGCCTTCGGACCCTTATGGAGGACAGCTCTATGCTGACACCATGGCCACTGCTGAATTGGGATCACTACAACAGCCACGGTTACGTGATCTGTAATCCAAGAGAAATCAGTCAGAATGGGTTTAAAGACACCAGCCCTCCCCAAAGCCTAAAAATAATAAGAAGAAATGATTTAAAAAAACAAGCATTCATCTTAAAATGACTTTGTTTGCTTTCTGTGAAGTCTGTACCCGTGGAGAAACACTGGGATCCCCTCCGAGCCCAGTAATTCATGGGGACAGCCCAGGAGAGAGTCGAGGGAGTTGAGAATGCGAGAGGGGAGCTGGTGAATGTGGGGCCACGCAAACTTGCTGGCTGCACAGGCTGCGTGTTAATAACATCTGCTGCTTCCTTCCCCGAGGACGTCGTTGTCCACTGGTGCTACGCGTCATGACTGCATGGGACCCCTCCTGCCTGTGGGTTGGCCAGCCCCTCAGACCCGGGAGTGAGGGTTTTCTTGGTAAAGGAGTGTCTCTGTGAGTGTGGTCCAGACACGTCCTACACCAGGATTACCCCCAGATGTCCGTTCGGGCTACGAACTCGGGGGGCCTCCCTGCAGCTCCCCCAGGGCAGAATCGGCCACAGGGCAGGGACGGCCTCCAGGTGACCGCAGTGCTAGGTGGAGAACGGAGGCAGATGGCCAGCCCAGTCCTGCTGAGCGCGGGTCAGCTACTAACCAGAGCCATCCCGGGCCCCACCCTCCGGGAGGCTCCTCTGAACCCTAGGCGTGAGTTCTACTAACAGGAGCCCTGGTAGCACAACAGTGAAGGGAAAGGTCGGCGGTTCGAACCCACCCTGTGGCTTCGTGGCACGCACGCCTGGTGACCTGCTCCCGCAGAGACGACAGCCTGTGTGGGCCGGCTCTGCCCTCACGTGGGGTCCCTGTGGGTTGGGATCAACTCCACGGCGGGGGGTTTGTGCTGTTCCCGTCCCTCCCTGTCCGCGGTCGAAGGGTTACACGGCTGGTGTCGCCGTCCAAAGGAGCCGTGGGGGCACGGAGGTGGAGCACGCAGGTGCTGACCAGAGCGTTGGTGGTTCGAGCCCACCAGCCTCGCCGAGGGAGAAAGACCTGCATGCCTGCTTCCTTAAAGACGAGAGCCTTGGAGACCCCATGGGGCAGCTCTCTGTCACATGACGTCACTGGAAGTTGGAACCAGCTTGACGCACCCAGCATTTCCCGCTCCATCACACAGAGAAGGAAACGGACCCGGAGGTGAGTGACCTGACCAAGGCTGCGTGGCCCGTCGAGGAAGAGCTGCGATCCCAATGCCAGGTACCGTGGCAGGCAGCAAGAGCGTCACAGGCCTTCGTGGAGGGGACACGTAGCAGAGGAGCAGGCACTCGGGAAACGGTCACAGAGGCCGGGGTTGGTTCATTGCAGTCATGTTTGCGGCCCCGTACTGCTGGCTGGTGGCTGCGGCCGAGGTCAAATGACCAGGCTCGGAGGTTAATTACCGTCCAGCCGCACACCTGGCAGCTGCCTAAAGGCCTCTGACAGCTGCCCGTCAGCGGCAGCTATTTTCCCTCATCTGCGGTGATTATTGCTGTGTCCGGACTTCTGTGGCGCGGTGTCCCGGGGCAGGCTTACAATTGGACCTTTGTTTTCAGCGCCTCTGGACTCTGAAATCCAGTGATTGAAAATTAACGTCCCCTGGCCCTGGGGCAGTGCCCTGTTTCAGCTGCTCGTCTGCGCGCCGGCTGTTTGTGTAAACGCCCCACGTGGTTACATCAGTGTGCTTCTACTCAAATTACGATTTGCGGGGGGCTTTTTAAGTAATGAGCTCGCTTGAAGATATTTTACTTTAAATTACCCCAAAAGGGGAAAAAATAAAAACCAGTTCCTTCCTTTTGCTTTTCTGTTATGAGACTGTGAAACATTTCTGGAGCCCTGGTGCTGCAGTAAAAGGAGCTGCTCAGGTGGTGAAGTGGTTAGAATGTGGCTGCTAACCAAAGGTCGATGGTTCAAAACCACCAGCCGCTCCATGGAAGGAACATGTAGCAGCCTGCCTCCATAGAGATTTGAAGCTTTGGAAACCCCATAGGGGTTGCTATAAGTCAGGATCAACTTGGTGGCAGGCAGTTTGGCTTTAGTTTTTGGTCATGCAGTGGTTAAGAGCAAGGGTGCTGGTGGGTTTGAAGCCACCGCCAGTCTGTGGGAGAAAGATGTGGCAGGCTGTTCTGGTAAAGATGACAGCCTAGGAAACCCTGGGGGCAGTTCCACTCTGTCCTCTAGGGACGCTGTGGGTCAGAATGGACTCCACGGCAGTGGGTGTGGTTTGGGCTTTGCTCCCATAAAGACTGATAGCCTGGGAGACCCTGTGGGCAGTTCCACTCTGTCCTCTAGGGGCGCTGTGTGTCAGAATGGACTCCAGGCAGTGGGTGTGGTTTGGGCTTTGCTTCTGTGAAGATTGACAGCCTTGGAGACCCTGTGGGCAGTTCCACTCTGTCCTCTAGGGGCGCTGTGAGTCAGAATGGACTCAATGGCAGTGGGTGTGGTTTAGGCTTTGCTTCTGTGAAGATTGACAGCCAAGGAGACCCCATGGTGCAGTTCCACTCTGTCCTCTAGGGGCGCTGTGAGTTGGAATTGACTGGATAGGAGTGGGTTTGGGTTGGATTTTAGTTGCAATGAAAATATATTATCATTTTAAATATATATATATATTTAAATATATATATATATATATATATATATAAACACTGCTTCATAAAATCCTGTGTAGTAAAAGCCATCTTTCATCTTTAGAAATTCATTTTTATTAGAGTTTGGTGGTGTTATACACACAGCACACACACCCATCCATCAGTTTTACACATGCAGTGCAGTGGCGCTGGTTTACTGTCTTCACGACATGTCCCCATTCTCGCCATCTTTCCCCACATGGTTTCACCACCGTTCGTTTGAACTCATTGCCTGCTGACCTTCCCATCTTTTTCTGGCATAGCTTTTAAAACTTTACTGTTCACTGTGCATGGAATTTGCCTTGCACGGCAAAATGTAAAAATGGACTATTTTTGAAAACCACTTTGATAAAGTGAATAGAAGAACTGGAATTCCTCAGTCGCTCCAGGAAGACGCGTGGGATGAAGGGAAAGGCAACACGTTGCTTTCCTGTTGGATTTTCAGTCAAGATCATCCTCTAAAGCGTGAGACTGGGAGCAGGGCTTTTGCTGACTGAGTGACTGACTGTTCCACCAGGTAATGATAAATGATTAACGCAGTCACGCGGTTGATTTTATGCCGTGAATAGTAGTAGATAGAGAACTATCAGCATTTAATTCTAATACAATGATATAACAAGATAAGCATTTTTAGCAGAAATGCCATGGAAATTTAGTAGACATTTCTGAACATGATTTTACATGTTTTTGTTGTTGTTATGTGCCGTCGAGTCGGACCCGACTCATAACGACCCCTCCTTGGGTTTCTGAGGTGGTATCACTATGGAAGTAGATTGCCCAACCTTCCTTCCGAGGAGTGGCTGGTGGGTTTGAACCTCCAGCCTTCTGGTTAGCAGTCAAGTGCCTTAGGCGCTACACTATCAGAGCTCAGTTTACATTTTCATATTGTTGCATTAGAATATTTTACTTTGTATCAGAATTTTTTATATTATTGCAATGGAATTTGATGACATGACCTTAACGGTCTCTATGAATCCCACGTTTGGTTTATTTAATTCTAAACTCTTGATCAGATCAAA